TAAAATTATGGCATTTGCAGGTAAATGGATGGAGTTGGGGAATATCATGTTAAGCAAAGTAAGCTAATCCCAAAAAACCGAAGGCCAAATATTCTCTCTGATAAGCGAATGCTGATCCATAATGGCCAGGGGAATGGGGGAGCATATGGGAAAAATAGAGGAACTTTGAAACTGGGCAAAGGGGAGGGCGCATGGGGGCAGGAAAGATGGTGGAATGAGATGGACATCATCACCCTAGGTACATGTATGACTGCAAATATGGAGCGATGCTACGTCATGTACAACCAAAGAAATGAAAAGTTGTGCTGCAATTGTGTACAATGAATCAAAATGCATTCTGCTGTCATATATACCTAATTAAAATAAATTAATTTAAAAAATTGACTTTGGTACTAGAGATTGAATCCAGGGGCACTTAACCACTGAACCACATCCCCAGCCATTTTTTGTATTTTATTTAGAGACGGGGTTACACTGAGTTGCAYAAGGCCTTGCTAACTCGCCAAAGCCTGACTTTGAACCTTCAATCCTCCTGCCTCAGCCTCCTGCGCTGCTGGGATTACAAGTGTGCATCACCGTGCCTGCCAAGAATTGACTCTTAAATCCAAAGTCTAGGAACATTTATGTGATTAACTCCCTTAACCCAGAAAATACAAAAAATGAGATATCAGCCAAATTTACTATCACAACAACCAAATCCTAATCCATTTTTCTTCCCAGGAAGCCATCTCTAAGCTTAACATCACAGGCCAATGTACTCCTGTTTCACTGAAGAGTTCTAACTTGCTTAGTAGTACTATGCAGTTCCAAAAGCATTAGATCTGCCATCATTTTAAAAGTATTTTTAATATAAAATGTAATTTTATATTAGAAAAAATTAAAAACTTATTTTCATAATACAGACTAGGAAAAAAATAAAGCTTGAAACATATTTCCCAATTGGCAGAGATTAGACATGTCTGAAGAACAAGCTGAAACTTATGTCTATTAAACTTTTAATGCAAAGATTAGAATTTTATTTGTTACTAATTTAAAGAGGGGTGGGTGGAGAGGGTAGTAAAAACTATAAGCCCTGACAGTGGTCTTCAGATAAGGGTTTAAACCCCAGCTCCATCCTTTCCTAGTCAGGCACCTGGGGCGGATGAACTTCTCTGAGCTCATGATTATTCACTGCCAAAAGGTGACTGGAACAGAGCTTCACTCACTGAGTCTGCTGTGCAGGCTGAATGAGACGACCCAAGCGAAGCACYGAATGTGGTACCAGGCAAAGAAAAGCTCCCAGCAAAGATCAGCAGACTTGTCGTCTACAACACTGCAAACCCCTTGAGTATTGAACTCAGACCACCACAGGTCTCACGAATACTCATTCACACAAGAAACAACAGAATATATACTGTACAGCTATTCTGGTCGGGTACCTTTCTGTGCCCAAGAGAGAAAGTAAACAAAGAGATAAAATTTCAGGTCATTCAACTATGATGGGCCATTTTCACAGAAATCACATCAACGGACAGAAGAGTCCTAGGGGAAGGTGCAATCCTTGCTTAAGTCTACGTGACATATAGGGACGAGGGTCCCAGGGCAGGAAAGTAAGTGGGAAGGAGGTCCAAGGAAAGCAGTGACCTGGAATGAAGTCTCCAGCATGCAAACCTCCTATCCACCATGAGGGGGGCTCACCTCCACTGGCTTCCCCTCCAAGAAACCACACTTACTTGATGTTGTGCAGCTTTCTCGTGACTATCATTGGAAAGTCAACCTCAAAATATTTACATGGGAGAAGATCTTCATCCTGGGGAAAAGCACACAAAATCATTTCTTTACTCACCACTCGCTGATCATTTTCCATGTGCCAAGCACTAAGTGCTGAAGAGCTATGCGGCTGAATACAGGTCTCAGGTCAGAGGACTGGTATGGTCAGAAGCATATTTTTCAAATTATTTTGGATTCAATAAGCAGAACCGATTCGAGGGAAGGAAGACTGGATGCAGGTAACATTAGGAGGCTTCTATAGAGTCCACGTAAGAAAGTCTAGGGAGTCTGACCTAAAGGGGGCGTCTACAATGGAGGCACCTGGGAAGTAGGACAAACATAGTTTTCTTCAAAAGCAGCTTGAGACAACTAGAGAGGGTCAGGAAACCAACATGACCAGCATTTCCTGGATGAAATAGAATAAAATAGCTACTATGACAAATGCAGTGAGGGTTAAGTATTATTTTGGAGCTGAGTTTTGGTGGTTGTGTTCTGTGTTTGTTCTGTGTATGTTCTGTGTATGTTATGCTGACGTGGTGGGGAACAGGCACTCCAGAGCCAGGGCAGGATGCAAATCCCAGCTCCACGTCTTACTTGTGGTGAGGTCTGGGAAATCGCTGAACTCCCTAAGCCAAGAGGTCCTCCTTTAAAAAGTAAAGAAAGTGACTGCACCTCAGGGCTGCGAGCCTTACGGAGATAACGGGCCCTCGGAAGGCAGCCTGCCCCGGTCAACCTCCCCTCTGTGCCTTCATTGCTGACAGGCACAGCTGCACAGGCCTGGGTCCTGGCTCGGGATGAGCTTCTCACTGTGGGCCACAGACAGCAAGTGTGAAAGACACACACGCCCGCGGCCCTGCTTCCCGTCCGCCTTCCCTACCCTGACTGCTGGCTACACGCCCCGTCCAGCGGTGCATGGTCCCTCCAGCCGCCTGCCCACCCTCCTCTGGCTCACCCACTCACTCGCCCCACTGAGCTCTCAAACCCAGCCACTCCTCCTCTGCGGTCACCTCCTGCCCACTCCAACAGCACCCCTCCTGGTCTCCTTCAGCTGCACACTACATGTCGCCCGCATCAGTTCTTCACGCCTCTAAGGTTTTGCAAGAAACAAGGGCTAGCCTCTCCCCTTTTGCTCACGTCACATCCCACTTCCCATCTGTTTTTATACCCCAGGAACAAAGAACTCCTTATGGTTTTCAAAAGGATGAAAAAGAAAACCACCGATATTTTGAACCTGGCGATGGCTCCAGTGGTACAATATGCAATGAAGGAAAGGAGAGTTCTAACCTGAGCAACTGGGCACACAGGGGAACCACCTAGAAGACAGCGACAAGAGAGGGAGACCAGGTACGGAGGAGCAGGCGGACGTTCAGAGGAGCTGACACCGAGGACAGCATGACGGAGCAGAAGTCACAGCACTCATTCCTAGCAGGAAAGCCATCTTTAGAGCAAACATGAGGCTGTGAGGTCTAACTGTCCACCTGAAAAGGTCCTCAGGTTGAAATCCCAGGGGATAGAGCCTGGGGCTTAATTTTTTAAGAAAAGACATCCCTGATGCATCCTAGGAGACCTGGGGTCTTGAGCCTCAGCTATCCACACTTCAGAGTCAAGCACACACCTGTGGCCTGAAGAGCTGGGCCTTGAAAATATTGAGAGGACATGTGTAGAGGGGATACAGAAGCCACGTCTGCTAAGACACTCCACAAGATCGCCTAAGGATTTGTGTACTCGGGGCCGGTGGGGCTCAGCAGGAAAGCACACACTTAGCCTTTGTGAGGCCCTGGGTTTCGCCCCCTCAAGAGCAAAACAGAACGCTCCGGCATGCAGGAGGCCCTAGGTTCCATTCCCAGCACCACAGAGGAACAAATTTTTACTCACAGGGGACTAAGAGGTAAGAGTCATCTGAAATTCCACAGACAATGAGAAACACGAACATCCAGTGCTGAGGGGACAGCAGAGCGTCCCCCGACTCTTACAGAAGAGCTTCCTTGTTCAAGAGCTGGCCCTGGCGCCGGCTCACCTGAGACTCTGAACAAGAGGCCACTGCAGAGGAGCACTTCCAAACAACACGCTGGCACTTTTAGGAGACCCCTTCCTTCTCGATTTTGACAGGAGAAAAATGGCTTCACCAAGTGATGTCCCGACTTTTGCTTCTGATTCTCTACGCCTTTGACTTCCACACCCAAAGAGCCTGCGAGTCGTGAGTTGATGTGGAAGACAGCTAAGACCCAGTACCACTGCCCGAGGACAGCTGGCAACAGAGCGTCACTCAGACACAAAGGGGATCCAACATGCCGGCCGCCTCCCCTACACAGCTGGGCCTTTGTATGGAAACATCAAGAAGCAGAGGCACCTTAAAGGACTTCGCTCCCCTCTTATTCTTTTTATGAATTACTGGCATTCCTGCAGACAGGAATCTCCCCTGAGATGACATGGAAGGAGCTCAGGCAGTAGTGGCCGCAGAGAGCCCATGACTCCCTGCTAAACTCTGCAGGTACAAAGGAACCATCCCAGATGGAGGGTGTGAGGATGCATGAGACAAAAGGATCATGGATAAGAGTTTCCCTCGACTTTCACCGAAACATATAACTCTAAAACAGAGACTGGTAAACTTTGTCTGCAAAGGGCCAGAAAATAAATATTTTAGCCTTTGCAAGCCAGATGGTTTGTGTTATAACTAATCAACTCTGCTGTCATCATTTCATATGCTGCCAGAGCACGATACGCAAACAAATGGAAGTAACTGTGTTCCAATAAAACTTTACTCACAAAAACAGGTGGTAAAGCAGATTGGTCCATGGCCTAGAGTTTGCAACTCCTACTCTAAAAGAGCAAACAAGGGAACTACCTACACGTATTAAAAAATAACCTGGGCTGGAGTTGTGGCTCAGTGGTAGGGCGCTCGCCTCTCATGTGCAAGACCCTGGGTTTGATCCTCAGCACCACATAAAGATAAATGAATAAAATAAAAAGGTATTGGGTCCAACTACAACTGAAAAATAAATATTTAAAAATAATAACCCCCCCACAAAAAAAATTATATCAGACCAATGTAATTATCAACAAAAGTGTTAAATTTCCACAAAGGACTTTTAGATATTCTGTAATTCTCCTTCCTCACTACTGAGAGACAACATTTTTTCTTGGAAGGGGTACATTAACCTCAGCGTACTTTGCTCAGAAATAAAAATCTCAGATTAATTATTAACCCACCTACAAGATGGTGTAAAAAGTCAATCATGAGATGGGGGGTCTTGGGCCCAATGGAGAGATTTCTGCAGTGACTTATAACAACATGTCCTCTTCCGTGGTGTCTGCTCCAGGCCCTTACACCACACTACAAAGACACAACAGACCTACAGAAGAGGGGATGTCACCAGAGAGAACCCCCTGAGCAACCACAGGGGCCATATGTGAAGAAGAGGGGATTTGGGATTTGATGAGCTGATTCCAATGTGTTCCCTAATCCAAAGGCCTGACTGTAGGATCCTGGATGAAAAAACCTCTCACAGCCCAATTTCTGCCATCTTTCTAAGACCCCCATTCCCAAAGCTCTCATGTTAGCTCATGAGGTCATGTGTGTTGAAGCATTTCACGAGTGTTAGTTATCTTATCTCAAAGAACACAGAGGCAAACGATGTACCTCAAGACTTACGCTGAGGCCACTGGTTTCTCACGTAAGAGAAAGGCTGGAACCTGGAGGACCAAAACCTTATCAGGTGAGCTGATTAGGGACGAGCTTTGCAGATCGGGTGATGTCCACGCACTCTAATTCACCTAGGTCTGACCTGCCAGAAAACTGGGGAAATGCACGTACCCATTATTGCTTCATGACTGACCTCACAGAAGAACCAAGAAAAATCTGAAAAAACCTACAAAAAAGAATATGGAACCAGGAAAGATATTATAGGGAAAAGACTTAGCAATAAAAATCAAGTCTTGGAGTCAAAAGAGCAGCACTTTAGTCCTGATCTTGCCGCTACCTAGAACCAGGTTTCCTTCCACGTGAGTGTGTGCAATCAGACTGGCCCCCAAGCCCTAGCAAAGATCCCATCGGACAGCCACCACAGCAGGCCTGTGCACCTGACTGTCAAACCCCAGCCCTGCAAACCTCCCAATTTTACAAGATGTCATGATGTAGAGAACAGATCCTGGTTATTATAAAAATTACAAATGCTCTTTGCCCAGGAATTCTGATAGAATTTTCTTCCTGATATATATCCACACACATAGGGGAAATACATGGGTTTTTATTCTAATCCCACTTGAAACAACAGCAATGAGGAACAACCTGATTTCATTAGGACCCTGCTGAGAGAAAACCTGAGACAGACAGTGGCGGTGGGGAGCCTGCAGGCAGGCGACGGGTGGAGACAGGCTTCACTGTGTACCTTTTAAAATACTTTTAAAAATTCTGACCGAGGTAAATGTCTTCAAAAAATTAAACTGAGGGACTGGGGCTGTGGCTCAGCAGTAGAGCACTTGCCTAGCACGTGCAAGGCGCTGGGTTCGACCCTCAGCACCACATAAAAATAAATAAATAAAAATACAGGTATTGTCATTAAAAAAAAATTAAACTGAAACAACTGGACAGGTTGCGGGAGGGGGGTTTCACTTACCTTTAGTTTCCAGAAGGTGGTATCCATCCCAGCCCCAAGGTTAAGAACCTGACAATGACATTCTGTCTTCCGGAGAAAAGCCTTTAGAAGCTGATTGACACCATGGACTCGAGCAAAATATCCTTTGAGAGGACAGAGAAAAAGCCATCACCCAGGGTTTTTCTTACAAACCCACCTCACCAGAACCAAGCACCACGAGGGGTCCCCATCTCTATAACATTTGTTAGGAAATCTGCCGTAAGACCATGGGAGAGATGCAAAGGAAAACAGCTCACCCATGTGCTCAGGAACCACTGCTTTTTAAAATCTCTTTGCCTTTCTTTTTTTTTTTTTTTTTTTACTTTTTATGCAATATGGAGATTGAACCTAGGGGCACTCCATCAAAGAACTATACCCCCAACCCTTTTTTAAATTAAAATTTTTTTTTTTTACTTTTATTTTGAGACAGGGTCTTGCTGAATCACCCAGGCTGGCCTTCAGCTTGTAATTCTCCTGCCTCAGTCTCCTAGATAGCTGGGATAATAGGCAGGTGCCACATGCCCTGCTTCTTGGCATTTCTTATAGACCCTACCCAAAGGATTCCTCTTTGGGGGCCAAGATTCCCTGCACACAGGGGAATTACGGTCATTCAGCCAATTTCTTTGTGGGGTTGAGGATAAATCATACACCTGCATCGAGTCCTTGGTTTTTCTTAATGAAAATTTCTTACAAAGCCTGATAGTGTCACTAACCAACACCATAACAAAGAAGTAGAAAGCAATCCCATACATGAACAAACAGCTCATGGTAAAAGATATATAAATGGGTTTTCATAAAAGAAAATGACCTTCAACCTCACCTACAAATAAAGTTTCATAGCACAGTGTGTTGGTAAGGAAGCCAGGATTATTCCTAGCTAGGATATTCTGTTAAAGGAGTGCCTGCTAGAACTTATTTTAAGAACGAATCCCTAAAACCTCAGGTCTCCTATGTGGTGAGCAGGTGGTGGGGAGGGAGATGGTACTTGCCTCTGTTAATTTCAGGGGCCTTCCTCTCTTTAGTCAGCCTCACGAGGTGCTGGATGTAGGGATCATGCCAGTAGCCAACACTCACTGCAAACCTGGAAGGGGCCAAAGAGTAGGCCATGAGTGCAGCTGGTGGATCAGGCCCAGACTCCACTGCCCAGGTCCCAGGTATAGAGGACAACTGTACCACAAAGGACAATAAATGTACACGTAGAGCCCCACTGCACCTTTAAATAGACTCATCCATCCACTGTCACATTAAACCGCCCACTACGGATCCCACAATGGTCGTTTCTCTCCTTCCCTAGGACTCTAAACAGCAAAAACCCCACTCATCTTCATGGAGAACACTGTTAACTTCTGTTTACTCTGAACTCACTGGTCAGAGCTGACCAGGTAGCTGCACAAAACTAAACAGTGTGGGCCCAGAGGAAGTACCAAAGATACTGGTGAGCATCAGGAATTGCTACCTAGGTATTTCTCCCAATTCTGAATCAAGTACTAGTAATGACACTTCTTTAGAGATCACAACGGGGAAACCAGGAACAAATAAACCAACTCAGAAAACATGACCAAAGTCTAAGTTCCACATACCAGGAGCAGTATCTGTACTCCAAGGAGTAGTTTCAGTACTCCAAGTCTAGGAGCTAAAGCCCTGACCATGCTCTGGACACCTTCTGGCAACCATGACAGCTGGCCTTAGGACAACTGACAAGTCATGACAAGAAGAGCCTGGATCCCAAGGCCACCTTAAATTTCTGTGGAACTGCAGCTGCTCTGCTGTCAACATATAGTCTGTGTGATACACGTCTATCGTTTAGGCAATTTAAGGCAGGCCTCTTACTCGCAGCCTAAAACATCCTAACTGGTACCCTTTGCATACCTCCATTTCCATGTTCCTACACAACTAGGAAGGAACTTAAGTATGTGTATGTGTGTGTGTGTGTGCATGCACGTGTGGTGTCTCCCAGGTGCATTCTAAGCTTCTGAAGCAGACGCCATATCTTGTCTTGTCTCTGTACCACCATCAAGGCTTACTCCTACCTTGCTACAGTAGGTGCCAGATTCTGTGCAGACCTGTCTCCCACAGTCTCTCTCAACTGTTTGCACATCCAGACACCCATGAGGGAAGCACATGGGTCAACGCAGCAAACTCAATACACAAACGTGCAAAACACACTCACTGACAGGTAGGATTCGGTGATCCAAACTTCCCAAAGGAAATCAGTACACTTGCAAAGTTTTACAACAGTAAACTTTCTCAGTTATCTAAAATGATTTGCTTTGGGAACAGTAAATTGTGACCCACTGTCATGAAATTAGTGTGCAATCCTGTTTTTTTTTTTAATAGGAAGGAAAGTAAAATAGAAAATATCAGCATGCACTAGTAAGGGTTAAAGCTGTCGGAGGTTTTGTCTCAGRCTTGAGCTGAAGATCTAGGTGCAACGGAAAACATGCTTTCCCACTGTTCAACGCTGATTTCAAAGGGTCTTCCAGTGCCATCTAGTGGGGGAAAGCCCTATCTGCAGTTGAGGTTCTGTCCAACCCTAAACTGACACAGAGCTCATTTGTGCCTTCTGCTGAGAGGAGACAGGAAAGAATTTAGAAAGTGTCTGCCGATGGGGCGCAGTGGTGCACCTCTGAATCCCAGAGGCCAAGGCAGGAGGATAGCAAGTTCGAGGCCAGCCTGAACTTTTATTTTTAATTTTTTTTTAATTTATTTTTTAGTTTTACGTGGACACAATATCTTGTTTTATTTTTATGTGGTGCTAAGAATCAAACCCAGTGCCGCATGCATGCTAGGCAAGCGCTCTACCACTTGAGCCACATCCCCAGCCCCCTGAACTTTTTATTTTGAGACCCTGTCTCAAAACAAAAAATAAAAAGATCTAGGGGTGTAGCTCAGTGGAAAAGCGTCTCTGGGCTCAATCCCCAGTACTCCCCGCCCCAAAGAAAACAATACTGATGATCAAAGAAAACGCAAAATGAAAGCAAAAACAGCAATATTTCCTTTAACAAACCGGCAACAAAACCATTTTCTAATAGACCTTGGCTTWGTAGGAGGAGGGGGAAGAGGGCGCTCGAGCGCTGCGGCTGGAAACAAGAGCTACACAATCGTGTGCGAGGCACTGCGGCAACAGGCAGAACAGCCCGACCCACGGGCCAGACCTAACCGGTCCACTTCACGGCTCACCCTAAGCGAAAGGCAGCAATAGCACAGGAGCTTTCTCCAGGAACACTGAACAGGAGGGTATGAACATCCCGGGAACAAAGCAGACTAAAACTTATATGCAGAGGATGTTCCTAATAGTTAGAAAAATGTATCTGTATCGTATAGCCATCTCTATGACTGTATGTACACACACACACACACACACACACACACACACGTTGCCCACAGCGAGCACCGAGTCACCCAGTGCTGCCAACAGTGTGTCCTCACACCATCCTGGATGCTGCGGTCCATTTCCACTGCGCTCCTCTGCTCAAAATAAAAACCCAAACAACTTCCCTTGCTTCCATATATCCTGACTTCCTGTTTAAAACTGATTGAAGAATCAAAACTGTCAGATTTGGAAAGACCTTCAACATTTTCCAGTCTTGATTCAACCCGCCACTGCTCTCAATTTCCAGTCACCTACCACTGGCTCCTCAGTCTTTTCACTCCCCAGGCATTTGCCTAACTCCCAGGGCTGACTGGCCCCAAGCATTTTCTCCTAGGGAGACACTAATAAATTCCTACCTATTAAAATGTAAAATGTCTGGCTGGTCCCACCTAAAATCATTCCACATTCCTCTGTGAGAACCAGTCCAACCAGGCATTCACTCCAGGAGCATTTACAGGCCGCATCCCTTTGCATGAGTGTCAACTCCAACAATGGGTCCTTCAGCAGAGAGGTGTAAGATCCCWCCCAGCAGGCTGGGGAAGGGAAGGGGCCCTCCCTGCGGTCCCTGCCAGGAGGAAGGCTGTCACCTCACTGAGGGCTTAGGACAAGCCAGGCATTATTCCAAATGCTTGACAAACAAGAACACAGATCACTCTTGGAAAAGCCTAGGAGGAAGGCTGCTTTGCAAACAAAGTCAGGCAGCTCCTCAAGCTATGGAACTTCTAGGCATGTAGAGGGATTCTACTACCTCTCAAACCTACTTACCCACCTGGATTAGATCTCCCCTATCCTCACTTCTTGTTTCCCTCCTAACACTTTGGTTGCTTAAAGTGTGTATATTAACACTTTGGTTGCTTAAAGTGTGTGTGTGTGTGTGTGTGTGTGTGTGTGTGTGTATGCCTATGTGTGTATACAGGTACGTACTTGTGAATACAAAAATCAATTGACTGTTCTCAGCATTAAGATTTAAAGACTAGGGTTTTAACAGCATACTGCTGTGGTCTTTTAAGATGTTGTACTATCTCCAACTTGAATTTTATTGTTATTCTTTCAGTTCTTTTGGTCACATCTTTAGTTTCTATTTCCTGATGGTTTTATTCTTGGACTATAAATGGAAAGCAGGAAGCTAAATCTTAAGGGCAACAGACTACACCTAAATGGAGATTGCATTTGTTGCCCTGCCTACGAGGTCTGAGTTCATCTGCCAGTCTTTACTTGAGCCACCTAAAAAAATTGGCCTTGACACTTAAGAAGACTCAGTCAACAATTATTCCCCATCTCCCAAAATACTATCTGTTTTGTCTTCTGGTTTCATCTAATATATAATTATTTTATATGAATTAATGTGATCTAAAATTGACTGTCCCTTCTCACATTTATRTGGAAGCTAAAAAAGTGATATCAGAGAAGTAGAATGGAAAATACTATTTACCATACACAGGAAGAGTGTGGGGCAGAATGGATAGAGGATGGTTAACAAGTACAGGGGTGCAGGTAAATAGAAGCAATAACTTCTAATATTCTACAGATAATAGGATGACTATTGTTGACCACAACTAATTTCGCTAGCAGAGAGGATTTTGAATGCTTTTAATGCAAAGAAATGGTAAATATATGATATGCCAACTACCCTGATCAGATCATTACACATTTTAGCATGTAATGAAATGTCACACTATACCTTGTAAGTATGCACAACTATTATGTGTCAATTAAAAATAAAATCTACTCGCTCTGCTATTGGGCAAAGTATAAATGAAAAAGGGATCAAAATTCACAACACGATGAAATAAAAAGGGGAATCCAGTTAGAGAGTTCCCTGGGTCAAAGTCCCATCTCTAACTTTATAAAACAACAACCAATATGTAATATAATAACAAGATGTTCTGGATCTAAATAATGCTAAACTACTTTGGGGAAAAAAGGATTTAAGAACATATATCATGAACAAGGTTTGCCTATTCATTTTCTTAAAATATCTACTTTTCCTTTATAGTTAGTGCTTTTGGCATTCTGTCTATGAAACATTTGGTCTTCCAATGTTGCAAATATTTTCTCCTTTTCATAGGAAGCTCTATGATTCTAGCTTTGACGTACAAGTTTATAATCCACCCATGACTCATACATACGKAATGAGTAGGGGTCAACACTTTCTTTCCCATTTGAAGATCCAGATGATCCAGAATTACCAGGTCAAGAGAGTCTCCTTTTCCCAATGAACTGACTTACTTGAGGCTAAAATCAATACTGACAGTACATATGTAGGTTATTTCTGAATTATCCGTTCCATTTTATTCATCAATTCATCCATCTTTATGCCAGGGCCACACTATTTTTTTTACTACAGTGTTACAGCAAATCTTAAAACTTAATAATGTCAAAACTGAGCAGTATAAGTTCTCCAACTCTGTTATTTTGAAATTGTTTTGTTTTGTTTTTGCAGAGGGAGGGAGGGTAGGGGGCAATGATATAGATCCTCTATYCTATATACATTTGTTAATTTCTTCAAAAAACATGGATAGTATTTTGAATGGGATCTTTTCAATTTAGTATATACTAAATTGAAAAGAATAAAAACCTTAAGGTTTTTATATCACATCTTCTAATGTCTGAGCAAAATGTATCTCCCATTTAAGTCCTTAATATCTCAGTAACATTTTATAATTTTCTGTGTAAAGGTGTTCCCTGTCTTTCATTAAATTTACTCC